TGTGAATTATATTCAGAATAAATTGTAGCCATATTTTTCTGTTTATGTAGCACAACCCATTTAGCTATCTCAAAAAAAATAATAATAAATAAATAATAAAATGTAACTTTTTGTCTAAGGCCTCATTGGGAAATTTGGATATTTTAGTTATTATAAACATATATATAATTTATCTTGCATTTTCAACCTAATACCACCACGTTAATAATTCTTTTATTCAATTCACTCAATCCCACTATATTAATAATCTCCTCATTCAAACAAACAAGGCCTTAAAATTACCATGTTGTGAATTATATTCAGAATAAATTGTAGCCATATTTTTCTGTTTATGTAGCACAACCCATTTAGCTATCTCAAAAAAAATAATAATAAATAAATAATAAAATGTAACTTTTTGTCTAAGGCCTCATTGGGAAATTTGGATATTTTAGTTATTTTTTTTTTTACTATTTTATGAGATGAAAATAAAAATCTTGTTTGGAATGATATGAATTTTTTTTTTTTATAATTGAATAAGTAGTTGTGAAAGAAAAAATAATTAATTAATATGTAATATGTCTTGCGGGCCTTTTTATCTTATTGAATATTTTAATATTTTTTATCTTTATTGATTATTTTAATAATAAAAAACTCTTGCCAAACACCAACAAAATAAAAACTTGTTATTTTGGCATAAAAAATTAGCAATTGAAAGATGAAAAAAAAAAACTAAGAGCAATTCTAGCCACACTTTTTTATTTTGTACTAATTAAAATATAAAAAATATAATTTTTTATTTGTCTAATTCTGTTTTTATCTATGTATTCAAATTATTGTGTTTGGTTTGAGTTTTTTGGATTAAATTTTTTAGTTTTCATATTTTTTTGGTTTTAGTGAATATTTTTAAAATTTTAAAAAAAAAATTACTTTTTTAGATGCACCTTATTTAGATGTATCTAAAAAGTAAAAAATTTGTAAAAAAATATTTTAAAAAATTAATAAATACATAAAAATACAAAAAAAAATGTATTGAATTCTTGTATTTTTTTTATATTTTTGGTCTTTAGTGAATTTTTAATAGACTTTTTTACAATTTTTTTACTTTTGACGTGTATTTACGTTAGGTATGTCTAAAAAGTAAAAAAAAAAAATTACTTAAAATATTAAAAAAATTTAGCAAAAACAAAAAAAATACGGAAAATAAGAAAATAAAATTTTCTGAAAAGTGTTTTTGGAAAAATGGAACCAAGCAAATTCATGTTACTTTTTATCATATCTATTTATACACCCAAACTATTTAAAGAGTCTTTCAAAACGCTTCAAATGTAATTAGTCTTGAAAAATTTTGTTAAAATAACTATTATAACAGTTAGCTTATTGGAGTAACTAAGATATGATAATACTAGTTATAATAGCTAAGAGCATCAGCATCAGTATCTTTAAAATAACAAAAAGTTAAAATATAACTAACAAATCATCAAATTCTTCTTCCATCAGTCTCAGCAAATTTTTGTTAAATTAACTTTTTGTTAAATTTGCTACAGTAACTCGTCTGATGAAGTGAGAAACTATTCATCGCTACAACACATGATTTGGGTGTAATCGAACGTCCGGCCGGTCAACCCACCAGTTAACCAGTCAACGGCAAATTTTTTTTTTTTTTTTAACATTTCCTCCAGCTTTATCTTTTGTAAAACATAAGAATTGTTTGGTTGATAGGTCATCAATTTAATTATAAAAAAAAACAAATATTTTAATAGGATTGAATTAAAATAGAGAGTTTGATGCAGTGGATGACTAACTAAAATATAAAAATGACTTTTTAAATTATAATTTGACTCAAAATTTACTGAGGTTGATATGAACGAAAATGGCTAGTAGCTCGAAATTCGTGGCTTGATTTTGGCTCGACAGCCCAAAACGACGTCGTTTTGGGCTGTCTTTTTTTTTTCAAGCCACGAATTTCGAGCTACTAGCCATTTTCGTTCATATCAACCTCAGTAAATTTTGAGTCAAATTATAATTTAAAAAGTCATTTTTATATTTTAGTTAGTCATCCACTGCATCAAACTCTCTATTTTAATTCAATCCTATTAAAATATTTGTTTTTTTTTATAATTAAATTGATGACCTATCAACCAAACAATTCTTATGTTTTACAAAAGATAATTCGAGCCAAAAATCTCGAGCTACCAATCGCGATCGCTGATATGAATACTCTAACATACCTCATTTAAAGAGTCAATTAGAAATGCTTCCTATTACTGTTTTTTCTAATAAAATAAATAATTTTTTTAACATTTACTAAAAAAAATTCATTTTTTTTTTAATATTTTAAGGAAGTAAAAATAGAAATAAAAGACTTATTAAAAAATATTTAAAAATAATAATTGCATTATAGCATTTTTCTTCATAAAGTAAGGGCAATTGCCCTCGTGGATTGTATTGCATTTGCTACATATAAGTTGTAGTGAAGTAAACGCGCCATGAGAGACAGTAGCGGTGAGAAAAGGTAATAGTGGGCAACTTGGGTTAATAAATACGAGGTACACGCGAAAAATTATTGGTGACTCGTGATGCATCACATGATCATATTTTAAATTAGGAAAATGTTATGGACCCAAATAAATTATTAAATTTTTTATTAAACTTTTTATATGGGTGTGGGATTCACACAAATCAAATGTATGTGGGTCTCATATCCATGTGAGAGATGTGGTAGAAAATTTAATAATTTGTTTGGGATCCCTAGCATAACTCTTTAAATTAATTATAAATTAAAAAATATTGGATATCTTAAAAAATATATCAAAATTTTTAGGGAGAAACTTGTTTCTGATTTTTAATCGGATTAGATGGTGCTATTTGAACCGTGGAGGCTTATCACGGTCTCATTTTAATAATTCGAACCGTTCAATGTATAGAACTCGTTGAGTATTATATGCATATAAAAAATTGCGTTGATCGGATGTCGATAGCTATGTGATCCAATCAGTTTTGTATAAAAAAATAGACGATGAACAAATTAACGGTTGACAAAAAAATTGATAAGATGAGATAACTATTGATATCTGATCAACGTGATTTTTTATAGGCATATATGTACTCAACGAGTTCTACACATTAAACGATTTCAATTATTAAAACGGGACCCATAGTGAGCCTCCACGGACCGAACAACACCGTCTAGTCCGATTAAGGACTGGAGACAAACTACTTCCAAATTTTTATTAAATATTTTTATCAAACTCGTGTTATATGAGTTTTTATGTAAATCTCATGTCTATATAAGATATTTACTAAAACAATTTATAGAATTTTAAAATTTGTAATATTATTCTTATAAATGTTAATGTCTTTCTATATTTTTAAATCACTTAATTTAAAATTTAAAATTTTACTTCTTTCCTCAATTGGTCAACTAACCAATAACTTCTCATATACAGAGGGAGATTTGGGATGAGTTATGTTAGAGATTTTAAATATTTTATTAAATTTTTTTACATAAGTGTGAAATCTATGTAAATTTGTGTGAACCTAATCTGACGTGATAAGTTTAAAATATTTGATAGAATATTTAAAAGAGAAGGAGAGAGGCCAATGGGTGAATAGAAAAGGAACAAAAGAGGCTAATGGGTTGGCCCTTCCGGTACTCTTGGATTGGACATTTCTGGAAAGTTTTTCCTTTTCCGCTATTATTCCTCCTTTCCTTTTCTGAACCCCCAACCACAGCTCCACCACCTCCCTCCGCCGTGGCCCTGACTCTCTCTTCAATAATAATATCACCACCTCTATTCCCAAAATACCCTCCCATATTCCCCAAATTTACCCCATGAAAAGTAAGAGAGATAAAGATTGGTGGAGGTGTGATGTGGTGGGTGTGAATGAATGAATGAATGAAATCAAATGAAATGAAATGATAATTTAGTCTTTGTGCGTCTCTCTCTATCTATTTCTATATTTGTGGGTAATGTAGAGAGAGAGGGAGAGTGAAGAGTGAGAGGTTTTCGATTTGGTTAACGTCGGAAAGCTGTCCAAGAAAGAGACGGTTCTTTCTTTCCCATTTTCCTCTTACTAAACAAAGAAAGTGATAAAAACTAAGAGTTACAGAGAAAACAGAGAGGTTAATTGAGAACAACCCAACCGGACAGAGATATATATTATATACACAGAGAAAAAGAAAGAGAGAGAGGCTGTGAATGAATTTATGAATGATTGAAAAAGAAAAAAAAAGTGTTTAGAGAGAGAGAGAGACTCCATTCAAGTCATTGTAGAAAAAGAGAAATAGGTGGAGAGTGTTAGAGAGAGAGAGAGAGAGAGGTGTAGCTAAGCTAATAGAGGGAGGGGGCTGCTTTCGGCTAAGCTTCCTGAAACTGGCCTCGTCTATGCTGTATTGGGTAGCTCTCTCTTTTCTTGGTAATAGGTTTTAGTATATGTTGTTGATTGTTGATTGTTGGTTGTAGACTCAAACACACAGTTTCATTTTAATCATTATTTTATTCCCCATGTCCATGTAGAGAGAGAAACTAAACAAACCAACACAGGAGAGACACACACACACACTACTTTTGCGGCCACCACGAAATTCTTGTCCAGATGCTAGAGTAGCGAACACAAATCTAACGACTAGTGTTTTTTTTTTTTTTTAATGAAGAGTTTCAGAGATCAGAGAAACAGAAAAATGTGGGATCTAAACGACTCACCTGATCAGACAATGGACGCTGATGAATCCGAAGTTTGTTCTTCCCCGATCGACGCCGACGAGGATAAGGGTAAACGGGTCGGGCTCCGATCCACCTCGAATTCCAGCTCATCGGCGGTGGTTATCGAAGATTGTTCCGAGGAAGAAGAAGAAGAAGAAGAAGACGGCGGCGAAAGAGGCGGACGAAAGCGGAGCAGTATGATATTCGGGTTTCCGGTTGCTCACGGCAGCGGCAACTTCTCGCCGGAGAGCGACCGGCTTGTGACCCGGCAGTTCTTTCCATCGGAAATGAGCACTCCGTCAGGCGGTGACGCAACGAATTTTCCGAGGGCTCACTGGGTCGGAGTTAAATTTGGCCAGCCGGAGCCTCTCGGCGGCGGCGGAGGAGGAATCGGGAAGTTTTTGGAGCTGACGCAGCCTCTGAGGAAGAGCCGCCGTGGACCAAGGTCTAGAAGCTCTCAGTACAGAGGTGTTACCTTTTACCGGAGAACTGGCCGGTGGGAGTCTCATATATGGTTAGTTAGTCCTCGTATTCTTTTCTTTTCTCTCCTTTCTTTTGGATTTGAATCCAATTCATGTATAATCTTTGTTGTTTCCTTGTTTATGATTCAGGGATTGCGGAAAACAAGTTTATCTGGGTATGTTTTTTTCTTTTCTGTGTTTTGGGAAAAATGGTTTCTTTGGCTATAATTATGATGAAAAATATGCTTCTCTCTCTTCAGGTGGATTTGACACTGCACACGCCGCCGCACGGTAAGCTCTATTTTCTCTGAGAAAATTTGAGGCTGATTTTTTCTTCTTTGGAAAATATGATCAGATCAGAGATTTATATATGTAGAAAATATTTCCAGTGCATATGATAGGGCAGCCATCAAGTTTCGCGGAGTGGAGGCGGACATTAATTTCAGCCTAGAAGACTATGAAGAAGACTTGAAACAGGTAGAGAGAGAGAGAGAGAGAGAGAGAGAGAGAGAGTATTGTTTGAAATTCACTTTATGATGAACAGTGTAGTCTTATCCATTAAGAGTTGTATTTGTTGATTGGATTCATTGTAATGGTAACAGATGAGCAACCTAACAAAGGAGGAATTTGTGCATGTACTTAGGAGACAGAGTACTGGGTTTCCAAGAGGGAGCTCCAAATATAGGGGTGTCACCTTGCACAAATGTGGTAGATGGGAGGCCAGAATGGGCCAATTCTTGGGCAAAAAGTAACTATCATCCTCCTCATCCTTCTCATCCCCATTTTCTTCTTTTATTTTCAAAATTTTCTTATATTTATTTATTGTTGCATCTCATTCAACAGATATGTCTATCTGGGTCTCTTTGATACTGAAATTGAAGCTGCCAGGTGTGTTAATGCTTCTCACCCACCCATTTGTCATTTTAAATATGGACCCATACATATATACAATAAAAATAAAATTGCATGCATATTGACCCGTTCTTGAAACACATTATTATATGTAACCAAGTCATGACCCAATTCATAATTTGAATGTTAATAGCTGCCAACCTAGTTGTAATGTATTTTTGAACTGTTAAAACACATGTATTATTGATTGATTTGTTGTTACAAGATTGATGTATATATTGATATTTGTATCTGTATATTACAAGTCCTATATATAGAGAGGTTTTGGGAGTAGTAGGTGTAGAGTGGGTGGTGGTAGTAGGTAAAGTGGAGGTGGTAGGTGGGTAATGTATTTTTGAACTATGATGCAATTGTGCCAAGCCTTATCTTGTATTTCTTCTTTATTAATAAAATTTCATTTTCTTTACTGATCAAAAAAAAAAAAAGATTTTTTTTTTTTTCTTCTTTTGTGTCTAGTGATTTAAAAAAAATTCATGAACGTGTAATACACATTTCTTGAGACTACCAATGTTGCTATATGGGGACCAATATCGACTCCTATCCGGATACAGTAATCTAAAATCCTGATTCTGACTCCATTTTTTAACCTTTTGCTATGAATGCATCAATTTGCGACAAGTATATTATGAGGTATTTTTGTGTAGGGCTTATGATAAAGCTGCAATCAAGTGTAATGGCAAGGAGGCTGTCACCAACTTCGATCCCAGCATCTATGAAGATGAGCTCAAATCTACTGGTAATTATAGTACTGAATAATACTGATGCCAATTCTGTATAATGTTTGTTATTTCAAAGTGTTTCTGAATCAAATTTGATTGCTATATATCTGTTTCCCAGAATCTCCCAGAAATGCTGCACCGGACCATAACTTAGATTTGAGCTTGGGCAGTTCGACCTCAAAACACAAAAACAGCCGAGAATTGGGAAACAAAATCCAAAATGTTGATCAGTCGGATCAGCATCGTACTACCATACCATTTGAAGCAGATTGGCACAACCGGGCATTTAGGCCGCAGGTACATAGAAACTGCTTAGTTTAATTTTGTCAATTTCTTAAATTGAACCATTTATTCTAATAATATTGATAATTTCCATAACTTATATTAATGTGAACCCAGCTCAATATTCAACAGGAACCATATAGAATTAATTCCTACAGAAGAGAAGGGTACAATGAGACTCAGACAATGCAACTTCTGAGCCAAACCCACATTCAATCTCCGAGTTCACTGAGATCCGGGCAATTCGTCAAGGAGAGTGAAAACTCAATGCTTCACATGTTTTCACCCTCATCAAACTATCAAGTCTGTATTGAAACTCATTTCATGAGTCGGGTATAACTGGGTTAATTAATTAGACTGGCTAATAAATTGTTTCAATCGTGTGGTTGTAGGTTCAGTATCCTAGCAGCAGCAGCAATGGAGGTCAAATTGGAGCCACGACCGGAGGCGATCACCTCTCACTGTCAATGAGCAACAATCAGCAAAGGCTGTTCATCAATCCTCCGCAATTGTTTGCAACTGCTGCAGCATCATCAGGATTCCCACAGCAGATAACTAACCGACCCCAAAATTGGCTACACCAGAAAAATGGATTCCACTCTCTGATGAGACCCTCTTGACCCAACTTTTTGTTTTTTGTTTTTTAAATCTTTTATGTAACAAGGTCTTTCAAGTTTGTAAGCATGTAAAGATCAATGCTTTGAGCTTAAATTTCTTCTTTTCCGGTCTCCAAATAGTATGTCAAACCCAAGTCACGAGTACATAACTTGGATTCAATATCAGATGAGATAAATTCAGCGTTTGCATAATCAGGATCTAGATATTCATGCGTTCTATTCTATATTTGTGATTCATTTATGTGTTTCCAAAACCGTATATATGTATTATTATTTAGGCTGCCCTCTTATTTATTACTACATCAATTGTAGGTTCTTGTTCATATTTTTGGTACGTGCTATTATTTATTTATTTACTTTTGTATAGTTTATTTAGTAGTTATTGTCATGCTTTTGTTATTCATCTGTTTAGCAACTTGATCACAGTTTGCACCTGACTTTTATAAATAGCTTTAGTATCAATCAACATGACATTAAAAGAAAAACTTGCTTAAATTGTAGAAATTTGAAAAAAGAGGTGATGGAAAGAAGTGAGGTAGTGTTCTCGGAAATATCAGCAGATGTTGATGAATTGTCACCATCTTCTGCGTCCTTTGAATCAGTTCTCTACTAAAAAAATTTATTTTGAAAACATACCCAGAAACAATTTTGAATGGTTAAGATTCATTTAAAGTGGATCTTCTTGTATAGAATTAAATCCAAACCATGCATTAATTTTCCAAATATAACTTTACAGACATATTTTTTGGGTTTTTTTTATAAATATTTTCTGGTTCTTTTGGACAGAAGGAGCCAGACATTCTATTATGACGAGAGGGACTTCTCATCTTAAGCTAAAGCTTCAAAGGACTCTCTGATAGGCCTACATCGTGTTGATGGATCTGTTAAGGTTACAGCTAAATGACACGGACTTCTTATAAGATTTTTAAGAAAAATTCAACGAGCTTTACAAATTTAACACAATTATATTACGTTTTTTTGATGATTTAAGTCTTTATAATACTTATCCCGCTTATTATAGAATATTATTATCTTTTTATGTATGCCTTCGTATACCATTTACATTGAGAACATAATAGTTATGTCAAACTAGTGATTTTATTTTTTTGAATTTTAGGAAAGTTAATGTAATTTATCCTAAAGTTAACGTTATTTATGATTTTGTCTTATTCATTTTGAGAATTTATGTTAAAAGTATTTCACGCACTTTAACATCACACGATAAGATAAAAATATAAACGAATTGGATTAATATTGAGAGAATTCTAACACGTCTCTAAGATTATAGGACACCACGATACAATACCTACTCTATCTATAAATTTGTCCTAAACAAACCAATATTTGATATAGTACGATTTTTATTAACAATTTATGAGACACAAATAATTTAAATAAGATGATTTTTTTGAAATTAGATGAGGAATGCTTTCAACTTCAAATTTTTTATTATCAATTTTCTACTTACAAAATTCTATAACTAGCCGGCTTATACATAGAGAGAGGGAGAGAGAGAAAAGTACTTAAGGTTTAGGGATTTAAGAAAAATTCTTAAAAGATTTTTAAAAAGTAATAAAAAATTAAGGAACCTTAAGAATTAATTAATCTAGAAATTGAGCATTGATTATGCAACCCACTTTGATATCATAGTAGTTAAGAATGATGACAATGAATAAAAAATAAGGTGTGTATTTTGCATCATCAGGGACGTCATCACTGATTATTTTAGAACCCTCGTACTTTCCAGGTCTATTTAATTATTAGTTTGAAATGTAAATATAAAATCTTTGTGTGTATCAAAGTTAAAGAATTAATTAAGATATTATTAAAATTAAAAAACAATTTTTTAGTTGCATGTTGTGTTTGTGGAAATTAAGATACATATGGATGGGTTATGAGAGCAAAGAGCCAAACTGCCACCAAAGACTCCTATGATTCCAAACCCCTTTTTTTAACCTTTGTTTTTGCTGTTTTTAACCTTTGGTTCTTTTTGACCACAATGATCCAATAGCTGTCCCAAGTTTTGAAATAATAGTTTTAAAAAAAAACTTTTGCTAGGACAATGAACGCATTTTTTTTTTTTTTCATCACATTTTACTGTTTCACTATCTCCCATGTCAGTAATGTATTGGGACTTATTCAATTAATGCAATGCTCACACATGAGAAAAAGGATTTATATACAATAAACTAATGTGATAGTTCAGATGAATCTGTTTTGAATGTACTTCGATAATCCGTATTATTCATATTGAAAAACTCATTAAGTTGATCAATTATTTATACAAAAAAATAAGTTGATCTAACATCAATAACTACATAATCAAGTTCCAATTGTATAAAAAAAATGGATAACAGCATTCATTTTTTTCAGAAATAAATCTCATTTGGTTGTGCAACTACTAATGTTGTTTTTTTGATAAATGATATGTTTAATAAGTTTTATAGATTCTTATAAAATAAAAAATTTAAATCAACAAAATAAATTTGGGAAGTACCAGTCAAGCTCCTACAACAATCTATTGTGCCTTACGACATAAAGCTCAATAAATATAAACAAAATATGTTTAGAAAATAAGAAAAATTAGGTATCAGTCAAAAGTAGATTACATTTTTACAGTAGGATGGAAAAACTCATGAAGTGTAAGTTTTTTTCTGTGTTTTTCTACAAGGGACAAATTTAGGCCCCACACATTAATAATTAATTTTTGATCGTATAAACTTATTTGTTGTTGTTTGTTGCAACTAAATGGAGTTAGTTATATCTTATTTTAATTTAAAAATTTGTATTAAATTGTTTGATACAGTTTCTTTTTGTTTATAGCTTGTTAAGCATAAATAGTTTTGATAAATTGAAAAATAATAATTATTTAAAAGTTCAAAGATAAATAATTTTAATTTATATTTTTTAATCATTAAGTTTTAACTTATAATAAAGTGCACCAAATAAACTCATAATCATTCTGCACTATTAAATGGAAAATATTTATAATTAAAAAAATAAATAAATAACAAAATAAAACAAAACAAAACACGAGTGTTAAAACTTTGGGGTACTTTGTTGGTTATTATGTCTGAAAAGCGAGGTGTGGTGTGACTCTGTTCTCAGGTGGTCCAAGCTCTAGTACTTGTACTTCAGACCACGCGCTACTCATGCATTTTTAGGGATCATGTGTTATCTCTGCTCCTAAAGACTAGTATGCGTTAAAACTTTTATGACGAATTGAGTCCAAAATTCCTAATCTATTCTCTCTCTCTCTCTCTCTCTCTGTGTAATTGTATTTAACTTATTTTCCTAATTAATTTTAAAACTGTGTAGGTAAAAATCTATACCATATTTGTTCTGGGGGAAACATATTCTTCCAAGATTTGAAAAACAATATTGAATGAAAAAAAAATAAATATCTCGAGATTTCTACTTACAAAACCAAACTTTTTTTTTTTTTTTTGGTTACAGAAAAATCCTCCCACTCTCCCGCAGGTCCAAGGCAGCTCCCCTTGAGGAGATCACCAGAGTGTCTTGTTGTCCGTTCCGAGTAAGAGATTATAACTTGGAAGTTTGTCCCGACCTCCCAAGGCAAGCTCCGCTTAAGTCAGAACTCGCACAGCGGGGGAGAATTAAACCCACACCGTTCCGAGTAAGAGACTATAACCTGGAAGCTTGTCCCGACCTCCCAAGGCAAAACCTGGAAGCTTGTCCCGACCTCCCAAGGCAAGCTCCGCTTAAGTCAGGACTCGCACAGCGGGGGAGAATTAAACCCATACCGTTCCGAGTAAGAGACTATAACCTGGAAGCTTGTCCCGACCTCCCAAGACAAGCTCCGCTTAAGTCAGGACTCGCACAGCGGGGGAGAATTAAACCCACACCAAGTAGCTGATAAGACATCCTTGAGATCAACCTCCTAACCAGCTGTGCTACGCCCAGGAGATTGGCCCAGAGGGGAGTTGAACCCAGGACCTAGGGGCTTAAACCCCAGGCCCTTACAAGGTTGCCACTCACCCCTGGGTTATCATTTTTGCTTTTAAAAGGACTATCTTCTTCTCTTTAGATTCTTTTCTTGTGCATAGGATCTACAAAACAATGCGAACTCTCCTATCTCATTTGTTTCACTCTCGGTCTCATCTCTTCTATGTTTTTGTCTAATGTCTTTATTTGTTTCACTCTCGGTCTCATCTCTTCTATGTTTTTGTCTAATGTCTTTGAATAATGATTCATTCACACAATTTTATCTCCCTATTTGCAACCATTTTCGTAAATTTCTTATCAACGGGTAGACCAATTGAGTGATGACACGTGGCAATGGAGTCAAAGTGAAAGTCTTCCATTGATCAGATGGACAGATGACATGAATAAGGCGATCATGTGCGTGAAGTGGTAGAAGTAACCTTGGAGCAGTTACCAACCAGTTTGTGGCTTAGCGTGCTGGTTTGTATGAGATGATGCTTGAAATTTGGGGCTTATTCTCTGTCGATGTTGTACTCAGAGTGATAAGGGGCACGTGGCAGCATGGAAGAGAGTTGGTTCGATAAAAAGAGTTGAAGGTTTGGTCAGGTTTAAGAGCTTAGAAGTGAAGAGGTAGTTACAGTAGCAGTTAAGAATGTGATCATGAGCAAAAGAAAAAGAAAGAAAATATAAAAGTCAAGAATTTGCAGAGAGAAAAGGGATCAATCAATCATCAACACTCAACATGAGTAAAATTAGGAGTAGATTACTTTAACATATCATAGGAGTAGTTTATTCTCTCTAGGAGTAGTTTTAATTCAGTATTTCTGTGATGATTTTCTGGTTCTTGTAATCAGTAAACTTTTTTCTGGTTCTTTCGTGTTTTTGTTTTTGTTTTTGTTCTTGTTCACATCTTTGTAACAAGTAACAATTTCGGCAAAGAATACCAATTTTTAGTTTGTTTCCCTCTGTCGATAGCCTCCAAAGAAGTCCTTAAATCTGTCAAAGTATAGGACACCAACTATAGTTGCTTGATCTGTTTGTTGTTTGTGAAATTTTGGTTTCTCTGTCGAATATTCTGTGCCGATTTGACCCAAACCAGATTTTTGTTAGCACTCGCGAATAATGTGACAAGCAAAATTTTAGAAGTTGGACCATGCTCTAACATATAGTAACTAATATAAAATTTGCATTTTGTCTTGCCATCTCATTCGGGGAGATTTGTGGGGGAGAAAATTGTGTAAATGCAACACTGTTGAATTTCTTTTTTCTCTCTCTATTTGTATATAAGATAAAAACTGAACAACAAAAATTTACAATGTTATTTAGCGACAAATATAGTGAAAAGTGAGTTTGTAATTAGTGAAGATGGAAATTTT